TGGCCGGAAAATAAACTGTGATAAAAAAACTGTGATAAAAAAAACGTGATAAAAAATAAATAATTTTTAATAAATAATTAATAATACATAATAAAAACATCTCACTAACTTCATTTCCAAATAAATATAATATGTTAACTATGTTTTCTATGTTTTTTTGGGATGATCAGGTATCGTTACTGTTATTTTATTTTATGTGCGGCCCAAACCAAATTTTCATCTTCTAATGTGGCCCAGGGAAGGTGAAAGGTTGGACACCCCTGGTCTAGGACCTGTACTATGGAGTGGTGTCCTCCCAGATACACAGAAGACCCCCAAAGCTTTTGATCTTTCATAAGGCATTAAAAACATGGACAGTTCCCTCAGACACTTGGACTGGGAGATGAAATCAGTCCTACTGGCAGATTTATTTGTTTTGCTCTATATCGGGGTCACCAACCTTTTGCACCTCAGGGACCACCAAACTCATAACTTTAGATCCCAGGGACCACTAACTGGTTCTGTGGGCATGGCCTAATTTCTGGGTGTGGCTTGGTGGTCATGTGACTGGCTGGGCATGGCTTGCATGTAAATATTATAAATATTTATATAAATATTGAATTTTTTATAAAAAAAAGAGAAACTTTTACTCAAAATCAGACAAAGCAGGCAGGCAGATTGAGTTGCTCACAGAATCACAGATTCATTCAGTGATCTATCTATCTGCCATCGGCTAGCTCAGTCTGTCACATAAAATTTGCTTGCAAGCAAACACATAAAATTAACTCACAACGCACCATGCATGTAAATATTGATTTTTTTTTATTTAAAAAAGAGCAGCTTTTACCCAAAATCAGGCAAAGCAGGCAGATTGAGTTGCTCACAGAATCATTCAGTGCCATCGGCTAGCTCAGTCTCTCAAATTTGCTTGCCATGAGTCTGCACTGAATTTACTTGCAAGCAAACCTTCAGTCATAAGGGAGGTTTGGCGGTGCTTAGCTAGAAAGCAAGAAATCCAACCATTTCCTGCTTGCTAGCTAATGTAAATCTCCCAGCACAGCAGAACAGATGATGGTCGGAAAAAAGATAAATAGCAATTTAGCAGGCAAGTTTGCTGGGTAAGGAGTGAGTGGGCGAGGAGGGTTCCTGTGGGCCATGTGGGCGGCACAGCCTTGTGTTCCTGCGCAGCCTGGATTAATTGCTTTGGGGGGGTGCTCTGGGGATGAGATTTCTCTGCGTCCCACCAAAATTTTCTCAAGGCCCACCGGTTGGCAACCGCTGCTCTAGATTGAAAATAGAATGTTTTCTAGACTGTAGGCATATATTACTATTATTTCAGATTATTTTGGTTGTTTACATTATATATTGCGCTCCTTTTTTAAAATAACCCTCTCTATACCATCTAAAGTAACTGATGTGAGATGAATGGCTATATAAGTAGCATGTATAAATAAAGCAATTCAAAGACAAGATACATCTCGTAAAACTAATTTAGAAGCAAGACAATATAACTTATTTAACTAGACTTTTATAGAATTTATTTCAAATCTTTTGCTTCATATTTACTCTTTTTCTTGAATCAGTGTAACATCACTTGGGAAAACAATGATAGGTTTGTATACAGTTTTTCATTCCAAAATAATTTAACCCTACTTTAATAAATGTTATTTACAACAATTTGAATATTTCATTTAACATCTTATTTTACATAAGAACTTCCCAAATTATCTCGGGTAGACAATTTTTTTTCAAGCTATTGTTCTTGCACTGAAATAAAGATTTTTATGGATGGGGGAGTTTTTATCCTGCTATTGGTATTTATTATCACGTTACTGATAATAATCAGAGATACTGTTGATAGAAAGCTAACTGGTAAAAGAAACAAGTAATGAAAGAAACTGAAATAAAAGCTGGAGAGAGGAGAAATGGCAGGTAGGGAACTGGGATGAATATGCTAGCCCTATCTTTCTCTTTCTGCAGAGAACATTTTTAGAAGCTAATGAAAAAAGTGCAAATAATGAATATCATGGCTGAAACTGAGGAGAGGAAGAACGTGAGATAGACATACTAACCCTATTCTCTTGTTCTCTTGCATGTATAAACAATGCACAACTTTTTCAGCATCGAAATGCTTCTATTTAATAGAGACTTTCCAGTAAATGAGGAAGCAAGACCATTATTGAATGGGGACTCTGTAAATAAAGAGGCTCTTCATTGAAGTTTCTTGGTCTCAATGTGAAATAGGAATGAGAGAGGAGCAAGGCCAGCATCCCAGCTGATGACCTCTGAACACAATGGGATTTATTGCTGAGTGAGCTTGCATAATATATTGCCTTCTATTCACCCGTGGCGACTCTAGGCGGCTTACAGAATGTAAAACCATACTTAAAATAAAATAAATAAAAACAAAAAGAATCAAATAAATTAATAAAGCACAGTAGAACAAAATCTGGAAAAAATAAAAAAAAATCACCCCCCACAACTCCCACCCCCGCCACGATGACAGCGAGTTAACTGTCAAAGCAGGTTAACCTGCTTAAAGTTATTCTGCATGACTATATGTAATTGTGTGTTTGTATAAGGAAGCATTATATATTAAGAGAATGGTTTGAATGTGTGTATGCATCTCTTCTTTGCATGTACATGTACATGAGTACGTTCATATATACAAAATACACGCTCCCATAGATAGCATTAATTTATGTAAATTAAATAAATTAAATTAAAGCACTTTTAATCAATAGTCAATGTTTATTAATTCAATTAAATTTTGTTATGTATTCTTTTTGGAGTGTACAAAACCATTTATGCATAAACCAAATGAATCACATGTGCACCTGTTGAAGAATTCATACTGATTCATACAGGATTAGTTTCAGGGAGAGATGACACTTCTAGTTGGCAGCACAAGAAAAATTGGAAGAATGTAGAATTTTTGGCAAGTTTATGCCTTGTTTTGTTTTTTTTTTTAAAAAGGGATTCCCTTAAACTCAAAGCAATGTTTCTTTTAGATGAATATGGAATTTGTAAATGCAGGGAATAATTAACACTGTAATGCACCAAAATGTTTTTTAAAAAATTGTTGCAACCTCATGCAGAATAAAAAAAAATTGCATGTAACAAGTGTTAGTCTCTGTATTATAATAAATACATCTATTATTTGGATACTCCATGAAGCCTCTCTTCCTTGCGTTTTCAGTTAAAGAATAAACATTAAGATGATTACTTTTTTTGCATGTTTAAAAACTGATTTTTTTAATCAGTTGAAAACCCTTGAGGAAATAATTAAACTTTTATGAACAAGCAAAAACTCAGTTTTTAAAAATGAGAATTACATTAAAATTGATCTCTTTTGTGTATATTATTATTTAAATAATTATGTTTTGAGAGAATGATTATATATTCTAAATAGAATAACACTTCTAGGCCTTAAAATTTGCAATTAACAAATAAATATAAATATATATTCTGTAAATTGCATTTTTAAATATTTACCTCTCCCATTCCCCGAGATTCTAATGCAAGAGCTTGAAACTCATGATTCATTTCATCCACAGAGCAAACCTAAGAGAGACAGGAAAAAATAAATTAAAACAGAATACTGATTGATTTTATATGAAACGTTATGCAATATCAGATTTCACAGAATTGTAGTACAGGTGATACAACTGAATTATTTTATTTTCAAACAATGATGTACAGTTTTTACTAATTGTTTCCATTATCACTTATTTTTATGAAAACATTTCCTATAAATTGTATTATTTGTCTTCAAAATAAATATTAAACTTTGTGAATAAGTATTTGCCACATTCAAATGTTATGGAATTTAAAAAATAATACAAACTACAAAAACAGAACATTAAGTGAGTTTATATTGAGAAATTTCTACATAAATAAATACAGCACAACCAAAATCTGAATGAACCATTCTAACAAGTAACATTTCAAGGATACATACTCATTTTGATACAAAACATCCAATTTCACTAAATTTTGTATTTAAACTAAAGATGAAATCCTTATGCAGAAGGACTTGCTCCTGCCCCATGTACACTCCCAAATTCTGTTCCAAGTTTTTATCCAGTCCATATGTTCCTCAGACAGGAAATAAAACTAGTCAAACAAGGAAGACACTAATTCTGTTTCTTCAATAGTTCCACCCATTCCTTACTAATTATTTCGGGGGGGGGGGGGGGAATCAGGAAGAGGCAATCCCAGTCTGGCGTGAATGTGCCTGGCACCTCTCTGATCTTTTTAGTAATGTAAGCAGTAGCACACTGCCAACTTTTCGACTTTCACATTGTAGGCATCTGACTTGAACAGCCTCTGGAACCTTTGTGCCAAAGTGTGTTTCCATCTTCCTCATCACAAAGCTATTCTTTTCTGAAAAGCAGCCTTTGGCCCATTTGATTTCCTAGACCTCGCACTCACACACTGTATTAGTGAGAAGCTTTCTTTTCCATTTAAGGAATTCAAAGTTGAGTTTGGATAAGAGCTTTTTCTGTTGGTTACTTTGCTATCTCTCTTACTTCTCCTTTCCTAGAGGGACTCCTGTGAGTATTTATTTGGTCCTATTAAGAAAGACTGCCCTAGGATCTTTAGACAAGAAAAGGGATGGTTGATGGCTCCTCAAACTTAAGTGAGCTCTGAACTGCTTTGGACCAGTCCAACAAATGATTCAGCACCGAGAACTCTACTGTTCTGCTTGATATTTGGTAGACTGCAGTTTGTATCCACCCAAGAGTCTGCCACTGACTCCACTGGGAACTGCACTTTCCCATAATTCTAGGTCCATTAGGCCTAACTAGCCCAAGCTATAGCCGAGCCCACATACTCTGCAAGCAGCATCTCTAATTCAGTACTCTCATCTTGACATTTAAGACACTGAGGGGAGAGGTACCTGTTCTAATTTAGAAGCTGCAGGCGGCTTTTTATTGCAGACAACTGAAATCTCTACCACTAGCCATTAGCCAGCACTGGATGGGAGCTGGATTTGCATCTTTATCTGCCAGCTCCTGTTGGAAAGGGGAGGACTATCAAAGGGCACCACAACTGAAGCCAACTATGTTACTCAACTACTCAAACTGCCTGTGCCTCTCTGAAGTCAGTCTCAGGTGTATTGAGCCGTATGAGTTTCTATTGCTTCTGATGGGAGGGGAAAGTAGGTCTTCTGTAACTAGTGCCAGTCAATATTTGACTCTTGCAGGAAGTATACAAAGATGATAGCAGACTAAATACAAAAAAACTGGGAGGAGTCATGAGGGACTTCTCGGCCCGTTGCTGAATTGGGGATCAGAGAAGATTACTCCAATAGACTCTCTTGGCCTGACTACAGCTAACACAGCTACTTTCCATCAACTGACTCTCCATTGACCGGAGACAAAGAAGCAGAGTACTGATGCTAGGCTGTCTGCTTGTCACTTGCACTGCACTTCCAAAAGGATTTTCCTTCCTCCATCCTTTTTTTAAAAAACCCTAGTCCTGAAAATGGTACCAAAGAGGAAACGCCTTTCTTAGTCTGCAAAAGGTAGAACTAAGATTGGGAAGAAATTAGCTATCACCAGATGGCAAAGAACATTAAGCACTGCCTTCTAACTAGAAAAGGTAAAGTTAAATCTTTCCTATTGGCCCCTTCTTCTGGTAAACAAGAAGAGCTTTATTTTCTTAGAATTCTCTAATATAAGCCAGAATTCATGCTTCCCTCAAGCTATTCAGCTCTATGACACTATCACCTTCAAGCTTGAGAACTGCTTATGAAGTTCCTATTGTATTCCCTGTGCAAATGAATCTTTTAAAAGAATTTTTCTTTGTATTATTTAATTGGAATGTACTTTCTGAAATAATCTGAGTACAGGTAGTCCTCAATTTACAGCCTTTCATTAAGTGACTGTTCAAAGTTATAATGGCACTGAAAAAAAGTGACTTATGACCATTTTTCACTCACGACATTTGCAGCATCCACAGGATCATTAATTGTGATCAAAATTCAGATGCTTAGCAACTGGTTCATACTGATGACTGTTGCTGTGTCCCAAGGTCATGTGGTCATCTTTTTCAATCTTTCAACAAGCAAAGTCAATGGGGAAGCCAGATTCACTTAATAAAAAGGTTACTAATTTATCAACTGCAATGATTCACTTAACAACTGAGGCAAGAAAGGTCATAAAATGGGGAAAAACTCTCAATAAATGTCTCGTTTAATAACAGAAATTTTGGGCTGAATTGTGGTCATAAGTCGAGGACTACCTGTATTGAATTTTAAGTATTCTGTAGCATTCTTATTATACAACTAATTAGTACTCCATTTGAAATTGTGTGATTTCACTCATACACATTCTTAAAAAGAGTGCAGCGACAGCACTGAAATAAAAAGGGGAGCATTATTTTTTTTATCATTCAACTATAGTTATCAGTTTGGAAAAAAAATAACATACAAGAGTAAGATGGAAACCGAGATTTGGGACCAGGTCTCTATAAAACTACAGGGTAAAGACAATACAATTAAGTTATAATTAATCCAAATTCCTTATCATGAAGATGGTGGGGAAAACTCAGGAGTTTTATTTAACAATGGTTTCTATTCATCACTATAACCTTGTTAAGTGTCCTGCTATAACTAGTATGCATCTCCAGCTTCTCTTCTATTTAGAATTAACCAGTTCAAAATAACAATGAGTCAAATGCTATACTAAACAAACAGGCACAGAACCAAATAACATATGATACATATAAATCTTGTTAATGTATTTCTACTATAAAAGTGGTCAGCAACAACTTCTAACATTAAAAAAGTTCTCTAATTTTAAAATATTGGAAATGGTTATAATCTCATAAGATCACCAAGTCCTACAAAAATTTATATGAGTGTGCAAGCTTAGGACAAAACAGTTTCAGTTTCAGAGTTGCATCCTTTCACAGCAGTATAAAAGATAAACCATTTAAAGTGTTCTGTCCTAAGGCATAATGAGAACTTGCTCCATCAATTTTTGTCAGAGGTTCACAAAAACATCACTTGGGGCTCAGGCTATCTGCACACTTCAGATTTTTGGGTTCATGTGAGATTGCGCATGCTTCAATCTGCCTGAAAGAAGGGCTGTCTTCTATTTTAACAATATTCAACAAACTCTTAAAACTCTAGCATAGTCAGCATATCTGAAAAATTCAAAGTATTCTTCACATTTATAAAATGTGGGAATGGATAAAAACAGCAGATACTCCAGATGAAATCTATGTTAAATTACAGTATTAAAGTATAGAGGGCAAAATACATTCTCAGAATCGTTCTGCCAATGAAAAGCTGAAACATGAATTACAGTATAGGTATTAGCAGTATCACAGTTATGGTATTTTCTGTATTCTCTCAAATTCTTCCATTTTAGTAGGACAACTTCAAGCCAATGAATTTGCACAAGGCAAATTCATGAATTCCATGGATATGGAAAAAAAAATGATGAAGTTACTGCCCAATAGAAACATATAAAATTCAGTCATTGAAGAATAGAGCAGTCTGAAACATAACAGATCCTCCTCTAGAGACCATGCTGTTCCTAAATATAGTTTGTTGATTTTTGAAAGTAAATTGTTTGAACCAGAAATGAGCTGAAGTATCCCAAGCTTTCAGTAGAAAGATTTACTTCAAAAAATCGTTTCACCTAGAATAAGCATCCAGAGGAGGGACAGAATATTTTGGAATTTTTGAGTATGTTGTTTTCTTTTATTAATGAGTTTCACACAACTCTATGCCCCAATTAATCCGGAACAGTGTAATTCAGCATCCAAGAGCAGTATACCACCAGTCATATTATTCTGGATTCACAGTCACATATATGAAAGAAAACTCTACTGATGGAACCAATGGAATATATCTTGCAATGGATAAAATCTAAACTTAAAACATAGGAAGGAACTGAACTACTGTGAACTATTTTGAGGCACTCTCTTCCTATAATTCTAACCACCAATCTTTGAGACTCTATATAGTTAGTCTCCTACTTATGACTACAATTGAGCCCCAAATTTTTGTTGCTGAGTTTTGCCCCATTTTATAACCTTTCTTGTTACAGATATTAAGTGAATCAATGCAGTTGTTAAATTAGTAAAACAGTTAAGTGAATCTGGTTTCCCCATTGTCTTTGCTTGACAGAAGATCACAAAAGGTGATCATCATATGACTCTGGGATACTGCAACCATCATAAATAAGTGTCAGTTGCCAAATGTCTGATTTTTGATCATGTGACCATGAGGATGCTGCAATGGTTATAAAGTGTGAAAAATGGTCATAAGTCACTATTTTCAGTGTTATTATAACTTTGAACAGTCACTAAATAAACTGTTGTAAGTTCAGGACTACCTGTATATTCAACTAATAATCTAGATTCTATAAGTAAATGTTGGGTGCGGGGTGAGAATAGAATGTTGTGGTCAGGAAGTAAGAAAATTAGAAAAAACAGTGCTGAAAATGTTTTTAAAATGCTTTAAACGTGGTCCTCAACTTACAACAGTTAGTTTAGTGATTGTATGAGGTTACTAGCACTCAAAAAGTGAATTATGACCATTTTCCACACTGCAATCTTTGCGGTATCCCCTGGTCACATGATTTACATTTGATGCTTGATAACTGACTCACATCTATGACGGTTGCAGTGTCCCAAAGTCATGTGATCCCTTTTGTGACCTTCTAACAAGTGGAGTCAATGGGGAAGCCAGATTTACTTAACAACCATATTACTAATTTAACTGCAGTGATTCTCTTAAGAACTGTTGCAAGAAAAGGCATAAAATGTGGCAAGCTCACTTAAGAAATGTCTCACTTAGCAACATAAATGTTGGGCTGAATTAGGATCGTAAGTTGAGAACTACTTGTAATTATCCCCTATTCTCAAGCCCTTCACCCATTTATGGATATCACCTTTTCTCCAAACAACTTCATTAATGTTCCTATCCTCATCAGAGGAAATTATCCTTCAACTATAAAAGATGCCTTTCAACATAGGTGGACTTTCTGGTGAAAAAAGTAATGTCTTCCGCTCTAATAATTATAGCTGCAGGCTCAACACTCATTGTCCTCATTTGCCTTACAGCACCAAAACCAGGCCTGTAAGAAACAGACCAATCTATAATTTAACTGCATACCGCTATCAGCTCTACAAACAGGAAAGGTATATGGCCATATCTATTACAGGTAGTTCTTGACTTACAACCACAATTGAGCCAAAATTTATGTTGCTAAAGAAGCTCATTGTTAAGTGAGTTTTGCCCTATTTTATGACCCTTGTTGCTACAGTTAAGTGATTCACGGCGGTTGTTAATCTAATGATGTGGTTGTTAAGTGAATCTAGCTTCCTCATTTACTTTGCTTAACAGGTCACCAAAGATGATCACATGACCCTGGGATACTGCAACTGTCATGAATACTTGCCAATTGCCAAGTGTCCAAATTTTGATCATATGACCCACAAGGATACTGCAAGGTTGTTAAGTGTGATAAACGGTCACAAGTCACTTTTTCAGTGCTATTGTAATTTCAAATGGCCACTAAACACATGGTAGTAAATCAAGGATTGCCTTTACAGGCTTTAAATACCATTGATGAATATTGGCGACTTCATTCATTTCATTTACCTCTAATTTCTTGACCAAAAAATAATCCACTGTGCATCCTAGAACCATGCAACTGCTGAACACTGTTCTTTCCTCAGTTTATATTTTGCTCTCCTCATGATCTACATCACACTTAGTTCCATACAGAACTGAAAGACCCACTCTGTGATGAAGAAATTTTCAGAAGGGCTTCTTCTACAATTCACATGATTGTAGTATACATGATTAGATTGTCAGCCTGAGCAACATATGCCTGGTATTTATATGTCCATCATGTTCAACCACATGGAAACTTGCCTCCTGATATTTATAGTATGGGTTTTAATCAATTAGTTCAGTTTTCTTTTCAATGATATTGATCAAGCAAGTAAGCTACTAAAAGTTACTTGTCCATTTGCTGTTTTCTTTGCCTGTTTAAGTCCCCTGTACTTCACAATTTCTTTTCTCTTCTGAACTGAGCAGGGACATGCATTTTCAATGTGGTAATTCCAATTTTAAAAAGCTATATGAGTCTTCTTCCTTTTATCTGTGCACCATGATTAAAAAAACCAAAGCTAGTAAGTATATGTATGGTACAAGAGGACATAATCTAATGTCCAATGTTGTTTTGGACTAGCACTAGCAAATGCAATCTTTGTTGATTCACAGGCATTGTTACACACTATGAGGAAAAAAGGATTCCACTGCCACTAGAACACTATCTCTTTCTAGGTCTTGAATAATATAAACAATGACTGCAAAGATGTGATTAATGTGAGCTATAATAGGCTGTGGGTTGCATTATAGGCTGTGGGTTGGAGTTTTTAAACATGCTTTCTCCCCTTGAGTCCTAGACTTAGTACACAGAAAATATAGCTATTGAAGCTGGGCCATTCTTTTATTCCCATGAGTTTGTGTTAAGGAGTGTTTCTTAAAAATAGTTTGTCAACACACGCTGGAGTGTAAAATTACTTTGAATGTAGAGTAGCACCTCCCCTCCCAAATCTCCCTTCCGTTCCATCCCCCAAGAAGTTGTTTTGAGTAAGACGACAGTCCATAAATTTGATACATAAATAAGGTAAAATAAGAGCCAGAATAGTGCAGAATAGAATATTTGGGAAGGGGCATTCATTGGACATACCTTTTCAAATGCTTTTTCTCTACAAAGAACTCTATACAGAAAGTAGAGGAGGCTGACTCTCAATGTTATTTCTAGATTTAATCTACAAAGTGTTTTAGTTTGTTTTTGTTAATGAATATTCAATTTTACTGGATCATGAAGAATCTCTTAAGCTATGTTTTTTGACACAGACAAACCCTATAGGTTTGGGGGTGAACAAATGTATGCCACTGGCCCAGTGGCTTGTACCTGCAACGATAATCTAGATTCTTCAGTAAAATGTACAATAATGTGTACTATTTAAACTAACCATTTTAAATAACCTGAATTACATTATTCAATATATAGTGAAAAGTACATCAAAAAATCTGAAAAAAATAGTTTTTTTTTTCTGATTGCAACATTAATTAAAACTAAATTTATTGTCATTTGAACTATATATATCCTACAAAAGTATTTACTACTCTAAAGACACAAAAAGGAAAATGCTATTCAGAACTATATTTATCTAAACTTTTAAACATTTTTTGCTAGTTGCTTTATTCACACATCACTCAGATTTAATTTAAAATTGCAGTGAAATATATGCTTATCTGCCTTGCTTAAATCATGACTATGCTTCACAAATATATTAGAATATCTTTTTTTTAACCAAGGCATAGTTGAAGGACTTTTTTTTTTTACTGAGTATCTTGTTACACCCTAAAAACCACAGTACACAATTTCCCCACACTATTTCCTGTTTGTTGACCCTTGTTGTATCATTCATAATATCTGGTTGCACTTTCCAGAGATTCTCCCCACAAGCATCAAAACAAACTGTTCTTACACATTTCATTTCACCTCAGCCTTCAAAAGTTCTGTAAGAATGGGGTGCTCACCACCAAACACAATATATTAGCACAACATACTGAACTATAATCACCAGCCAATACTGTAGCCTAATAAGTTCTGCGAACCTAACTCACGAAGTCATCAGTAAGATGACTTCTTACCGTTGCAATATACAGCACCATACAGAGAATGGAACTAAGTAGAATCACGTCTAAATTAATAGCTAAATTGTCTCTTTGAACCCTTCGATTTGAATCTGTATTTTCTTCCCAAGAATAATTTGATCCTAGAAAGAAGCAGGTCCAAAGGAAAGTTTATTATTTCAAAGTGGCAAACAAACCATATTCTCTATTTGCAACTCGGATTACCTTTAAAATACTTTCACCAATTTTCAAGCAGAAGCGAATTCTGACTATTGCCTCCCCTCTTCTAGCACTGTTCCGCCCCCCATGCATTCATTCACCCTAATTAAGATTAACAACAGACTACTTATACAATGAAAGCAAGCGATCAGTTTACCTTTCCGATTCCCTGGTCAAAAGACCCATGCTTGACATTTTAGCACCCCAACGTGAACGCTTGCGGGGGAGGGGAAGCGCCGCGAGTCCGCAGAGACAAATCCCGTCTCCGAAACAAAGGCAGTATAAGTACTTTATTCGCGACCGATCCAGGGTAAATCTTCGGAGACCCCCATCCCTCCCTCCCTTCCCCTCTGTCGCTTGATTCCCCCTCACCGAAGAACAGGCCCTCAAGCACTCCTTTCTGCAAACGACGTCTGCTCGGTCCAACGCTGTCTCCTCCCCCCCTTCTCCTTTTGCCCCACGCATCTTCCTCAAGATTTTTTTTTGGGGGGGGGACACCCCGAAGGGTTGGAAGAGCTGAAGCTCCCAACGAAAATAACCCCCCCTTTCCTCCCCAAACGGCCCTTCCCCCCCCCACAAAAAGAGATCCGCCAGCCACCATTCTCTCCCCCTCCCCGTTTCTAAACAAGCCGCGGTCCGAGCCACCTTCTATCCGACTCCTCCTCGCCCGAAACGCAGCCATAACAACAAAGAGAGAGAGAGAGAGAGAGAGAGAAACGGAAACAAACCCACCCGGTCAAACGTTCCTACTAACACCATAGTGGCTCGTTCCAACCACCACACCCACACGGACCCGTCTCCTTTCTTCTCTCGGCGGCGGCGGCGGCTGCACACCCCCCACCCACCCCGCTCCACCTCCCCTTTTACACGGCTTCCTCCTCGCTTCGGCCAGCCCGGGCCTGCCTTAACGAGGCCTACTACTTCCCCGCAACACAAAGGAGGGAGGGAGGGGAGGGGAGGGAGGTTGGAGGCGAGGCTGCGACGTGCGCCAAACCACCCCGTCAAGGCCTCGGGCAGCTGCAGCTGCAGCCGCTCTTTCCCCGGGACCGAAACAAAAGAACGTGGGTGAAGCGCCGTGTGTGGGGAATGGAAAGGCGCGCGCGGGTGGTGGGGGTGGGGCGGGGGGGGGTGTTTACCCTTTTGCTCCTCCCTCGCGCGCTGCCCCTCCGTTCCATCTCCCCCCTCCTCCTCCTCCTCCTCTCCCACGGCCGGATACTCACGAGCTGGGGGGAGCGGGCAGCGCTGTTTGTTGTAACGGACACGGAAAGGAGGGGGCTCCCTCTTCCTCCCGGAAGACTCTTGCCAACAACGATCCAATTGCCCCCTCCCTGCCACCCTTGCCTTCCTGCCACCGCCCCTCCCCCTCCTCCTCCTCCTCCTCCACCACCACCACCTCCTCCTCCACCTCTGCCGCCGCCACCGTCGTTGTCAACGGGAAGAAAGCTCACAACATGGCGAGTGAAAGACAGAAAGAGAGGGACGGACATACGCGGCGGCGGCGGCGGCGGCAGCAGCTGCCCACGAGTGCGCATGCGCGCCGCCAACCCATCGGCGGACGCCGGCACAAGGGAGGGACGGTAGGACGGCTTGACTTGACAGCGCGGGCGCGCGGGCGTGCGTGCGTCTCGGCGCGTTTCTCCGAAGCGTGAAGCGCTCGCTTGGCGTCCGCTTTTGCGCGTGCGTACGACGGACGGACGCACGCCGCCGGGGGTGGGGTGGGGGTAATACACCCAAACAAAGCCCAGACCCGTTCAAGCGAAGAGTGCGAGTCGTCATAAGGTACTAAGGAGACTTCCGGCCTTTGATTACAGTCGGTTTTAAAGTGGGATGCCGCTGCAAAGGGAAAGGGCGTCAAAAGGCAAAGCCGCGCCAAAGGCAAAGCTGCCTTTTCATCGAGTGTTCTGAATGAATTGGACCTTTCCTCGGAAAACAGGCACGCAAAACCGCTACGTTGCCTTGAACACCTGCGAAGGGACAGGCTTCATCAGCAGTCCGCAGTCAAGGTCACCTGCAGCACACCGGATGACCCCTCTTCTCCCTCCCTCCGCCCATTTGGTTTTTGTGCCGTGTTCATTTATTTCTCACGCCCATTTTAGAATCGTGGCATCTTCAATCGTTTTTCTCGGCGCACTTTTCAAGAATGGAAATGCAGAAGTAATTCAGGATCAGAATCAAAATGGAGCTGGAGGGGACCCTGGAGGTCTTCTAGTCCAGCCCTCTGTTCAAGCAGGAGATCCTGTACCATTTCAGACAAAGGACTGTCCAGTCTCTTCTTAAAAACCTCCAGTGATGAAGCACCCACAACTTCTGAAGGCAAAGCTGTTCCACTGGTTAATTGTCTTCACTGTTAGGAAGTTTCTCCTTAGTTCCAAGTTACTTCTCTCCTTGATTAGTTTCCATCCATTGTTTCTTGTCCTGCCCTCTGGTGCTTTGGAAAATAAATTGACCCCCTCCTCTTTGTGGCAGCCTCTCAAATACTGGAACACCGAAATCATGCTCCACCTAGGTCCTTCTTTTCTCTAGAATAGCCATACCCAAATCCTGCAACCATTCTTCATATGTTTTTGTCTCCAGGCCTTTAATCAACTTAATTGCTCTTCTTTGCACTTCTTCCAAAGTCTCAATGTTTTTTTTTCTAATGTGGGGACCAAAACTGGATGCTGTATTCCAGGTGTGCTTTTACTAAGGTTTTCTAAAACGTTACTAATACTTCATGTGATTTTTATTCTGACCCTCTATTTATATAAGTAAGGATTGTATTTAGCTTTTTTGGCTGCTGCCATACGCTCCTAGCTCATGTTTAAGTGATCATCCACTAAGACTGCGAGGTCCCTCTCACAGTTACTGTTTTTGAGCCAGGTTGTGCCTAATCTGTACTTGGACCTTTGGTTTTTCCTGTCCAAGTGTAAACATTAAATTGCATTTTGTTGGATAGGGTCCATTGTTCAAGTCTTGTCAGTCGTTAACTGATTGATAATTTGTGTGCTACCACTTAGGTAAACCTGTAAGTATTTGACTTACAGCAGTTCATTTAGTGACCATTCCAAATTATAATGGTACTGAAAAAAGTGACTTATGACCATTGTTCACACTTAATGACCACTGCAGCACCCCCATGGTCATGTGATCAAAATTCAGATGCTTGGCAACTGACTCATATTTACGATGGTTGCAGTGTCCTGGGGTTATTTTTGCCAGCTTCTGAGAAGCAAAGTCAACGGGAAAGTCAGGTTCACTTACTAACTCTGTTATTAATCACTTAATCACTAGTAACCATATTATTAATTACTTAACCGTGATTCATTTAAATCAGGGTTGTCCAACCTTGGCAACTTTAAGACTTGTGGACTTCAACTCCCAGAATTCCTCAGCCAGCAAAGTTGAAGTCCACAAGTCTTAAAGTTGCCAAGGTTGGACAACCCTGATTTAAATGCTGTCAAGAAAAGCCATAAAATGGGTCAAAATTCACAATAATTGACTCACTTAGCAACAGAAATGTTGGGTTCAATATTGATTATAAATCGAGGACTACCTGTATCTTCTCCAGGATGCCCTTCAGGACTTCCAACAATACAACCATTGCTGCTATAATGAAATCCATCCACCTTGCTACAGGTCATCCTCTCCCTTTGCATCTTTTTTAGCATTCCCCACTTCTCAAAAGAGTTCTTGCAGCATGAGGTATACAGAATATGATCATTTGAGCCTGGTCATTCATTCCCCTGGTGAAAACTCTGGTTTGATTTGTTCAATGATCCATTTATTTGTTTTCTTAGTATCCATGGTATCTCCAACATCAAATTTTTGTAGGCAATATTTTTTTGTCCTGCTTCTTCAAAGTCTTATTTTCACTTCCAAAGAAAATGAGTATGCACAATTCTGATCTTTGTGTAGACATGTCATGATACCTGAATATCTTTTCCAAAGTCTTCATTGCCGCTTTTTCAAGGGCTAGTCTGTGGTGCATTTTTAAAATTCTGCTTATAATTATGTGACATGAGTACTGGTATAAGTAAATATTAGTAGTATTGATTAATAATGGCAATTATTGATGATTATTATAATAATAATTGACAAAATTTCCATCTGTCAGTTGCAAAAGGCTGTTGCTTGGAGCCGCACATGTACTATGTCAATACATTACAGCATCCTAAGTTTTGGGGAAGAAAATGTGCATGAAAGCCAACATGCCAGCTAAAGAACTGGCAGCTGTGATCTCATGTTGTGAATGATTATGATTATATGATTATAATGATTATATGTTTCACATTTTTAATATTATTAAATTTAATAAATATATTTATATTATAATAATTTAAATATTTAATGTATTTTATCAGATAATTATATGTTATATGCATAATAATAAACATAATAAGTGGAATAAGAAGCCAGTTTGGTCTACTGGTTAAGGTACCAATGTAGAAAGCAACACTGCAGGTTCTAGTCCTGCCTTAGACATAGAAGCGAGTCATTCTCAAGCCAACCCACTTCACCTGGTTGTTTTGGGTAAAATAGGAAAAGGAAGGAGTATGTTTGTTGTTATAAAAATAATAAGGGAAGAGTAATAATAAGGCAAACTCTTAGAGACCACAAAAATAGATTTTCTCCAGGAGGATCTGTTCCCAATGTGGTCCTTCAGGTCTTTTAAAAGTGAAACCATTGCTTTTGTAATTGAGTCCATCCGTCTTGCTGACAGTGGTCCTCTTCTTCTCTTGTCTTCCTATAGACTATTATAGACTTTGCCTATAGAGTTAAGTCTTTGTATTTGTGCTGACATCCTCCTCTCATTAAATATTACCATTATTTCTTACCTGCTTGGTTAATTGTAAACTGTTTTGTGATTTTTTTAAAAATGCTGGAAGAAGCATAGAATTTTTTAAAAAAACAAATAAATAAAACTGCTGGCAGCTTTTGGAGAGAAATAAGAATTGCACCCAAAAATTGGGAAGCACAGCGCCCCTGTGTCAAAAATTATTCTGATCACAGCCAACGTGATCATTTATTTTTGTTTGCTTGCTGAAGTTATAGAGTTGCCATATGAAACTCCCCTCAAAGCCTGTGATTAACCATTTTTGGAAGTTGTGGCAACCAAATTGTAATGTTTATAGTGGTAGGAAAAACAATTTATTGCATTTTATTAGATTAAAATCAAAATAAAGAACAGAAGGGAAGGGAAGGGAGAAAGTAAGTAAGTAAGTTTGGTTTAATGTTGGTTGGTGGTTGGTTGGTTGTCTCTTGGTCTCCTATTGCTCTCTCCTGGTTATACCCAAACAAACATTCAAATGCCCAGCTGTGCAGATCAGCTATAGAGGAATTACTTTCAATTTAAGCAGAACCAAAGTTGTCAGGGCATTGCATGCCAGTATGAGTCCAGTGTTATGTTTAGTCTGTGCATTGTTATGCAATTTTACACTCTAAATATAACAGCTAATTTTTTCCAGTCTAAACAGGAATAATTATGTAGCAGAAGTGGCAAGATACTCAATACAAATAATATATTTTCCAGACCAACAGTCTTCCAATCTCATTAAGAAAAAGAATCGTTGCATCTTAAAACCTATTCTCTGTCAAGCTGGTTTTTGCAACTGTTATTTTGAGCATGTAATAAATATGTGTCTCTTTATATGTCTGTGCTGTAAGAGCTACTTTGAACAAGTTAAAGAAATGTCCATAATAAGCCTTTTTTTAAAAAAAAACATGCAATAACTACTTTAGCATCTTTTGGATGAGATTATTTTATTAACTACTGGTATCATAATTGGCTTTATTTCCCCATTATAGGTGTAAGACTCAGACCCCTACTTTATATGTCATTATTGGTGCAAAAGCATTCAGATTTTTCTTTAATTACAAATTATGCTCTTTACAGAAATTTCATTTCCTTAAATGTTACCATTTACTAGTTTGAACAATTGCAATTAGTAGCTATGGACTTGCTGACTGCAACAGGGATTTAACAAGTTATGTTATGAGAATAGCAATAGCACTTAGACTTATCTACCACTTCCCAGTGCTTTACAGCCCTCTCTAAGTGGTTTACAGAGTCAGCCCATTGCCCCCAGCAAACTGGCTCCTCATTTTACCCACTTTGGAAGGATGGAAGGCTGAGTCAATCTTGAGCCTAGTGAGATTTGAACTGCCGGCAGTCGGCAGAATTGACCTGCAATACTGCATTCTAGCCATCACACCACCAGGGGTCCAAATAGGATGAGTCAACCTTGAGCCCGGTGTGGTTTCAATTGCCAGATTGCAGGCAGCCGGCAGGCAGCGGAAATAGCCTGCAGTACTGCATTCTAACCACTAATAGTATGTCCTATTCCTGGCACCAAAAGGGCATTGACAAATTGGAGCAAGTACAGAGGACT